AGGGCAACATACAACAAGCTCAACAAACTTAATGTAGGGAGAATTCAGAGACCCACACCAAGACACATTCTAATCAAACTTTCAAATGTCAAAGACGAAGAATCTTGAAAGCAGTAAGAGAGTAGCAACTAATTACACACAAGTGATCCCCAATGAGATGATGAGATCTCATCAGAAACATTAGATATCAGAAGGTAGTGGGATTATATATTCAGAATGCCTAAAAGACAAAAACTGTCAACCAAGAACTCTATATCCAGGAAAACCGTGCTTCAAAAGTGAGGAAAAATTAAGTCATTTTCAGATAAAAACTGAGGGAATTTGTGACCGCTCTACCTGATCTGCAAGAACTGTTTATGGAAGGACACTTGACAATAGCTAGAAGCCATATAGAGAAATAAAGAATAAAGGTAAATATATGGGCAATTTTAAAAGCTATTATTGTAACAGTGGTTTGTAACTACTTTTTGTCTTCTGTATGATTTAAAAGACCAACACAATTAGTGAAAGCAACCCACAGTTATTAGTCTAAAAGCTAGTATTTATTCTAACTTGGTTTGTAGCTCCAAATCATGTTTTCTGCGTATTTTAAATGACTAATGCATTCAGAGGCAGTTTGTTTTTTAGCACAAATGTATGAAGGTGTGATTTTGTGACATTGACAATCACAGGGGCGAGGACTGAGATGTCAAGGAGTAAAGTATTTGTATGTCACTGAAATTAAGCTGGCATAAATTTAAATTAGAGTGTTACAACTTTAAAGCATGTATTTATAATTTTATAACTTTAGTGTTAGTAAATGTAACACCCCCACCAGTAATAACAAAGAAAATAGCTATACATAAAAATATATACTGTCAACCCCTGAGCAACATATGTTTAAACTGTGCAGATCCATTTATACATGGATTTTTTACAGTACAGTATTATAAATATATTTTCTCTCCCTTATGGTTTTCTTAATAAATTTTTTTTCTCTAGCTTACTTTATTGTAAAAATAGAGTATATAGTATAATGTGAAATTATGTGTTAATTAGCTGTTTATGTTATCGTTGAGCTTTTGGTTAATGGTAGGCTGTTAAGTTTTGGGGGTGTCAAGAATTATATGCATATTTTTGACTGCATGGTACCCTTTAACTCCCTTTATTGTTCAAGGGTCAACTGTACATAAAAGGATATGAGAAAGGAATTTAAACATTGTTCTACAAAAATCAACTAAAAGAAGTGAAAATAACAAAAAGTAGACAGTAGTAATGCAGGAAAGGAGAGACAAACTTGACTTCCTATAAACTATAGTAATCAAATGGCATCATAATATTGGTGAAAGAATAAATATGTCCATGGAACTGAATAGAAACCCTAGAAATGGACCTACACAAATATACTCAGGTGATCCTTGAAAAATGAGCAAAGGTAATCCAATGGAGAAATGATAGTCTTTTTCATAAATGTTGCTGGAACAACTGAACATACACATGTTAAAAAAAATCTAGATATGATGTTACAGCTTTCACAGAAATTAACTCAAAATAGATCATAGTCCTTAATGTAAAAATGCAAAATTATAAAACTTTTAGAAGATAACAGAGGGAAAAATCTAGGTGATGTTGGGCTCAGAATGAGTTTTCACAGAAACACCAAAAATATAATCATGAACAAAAAAGTTGAAAATTGGTTTTCATTAAATTAAAAACTTCTGTTGAGTGAAAGACAGTTATGAGAATGAAAAGACAAGCAATGGACTGGGAGAAAAGTCTTTGTAAGACAAATGTCTGATAAAGGACTTACATATAAAATAAACAAAGAACTCTTAAAACTCAACAATAACAAAACAACCCAATTTAAATGTGGCCACGAGATCTGAATAGATGCCTCACTAGAGAAGATAAACTCATGGTAAATAAGTATATGAAAATTTGCTCAGTGTTGTATATCATTAGGGTATTACAAATTTCAACAACCATGAGACATAACTACATATTCCTTAGAATGACTAAAATCCAAAACACTGACAGCTTCGAATGCTATCAAGAATGTGGGCAACAGGAACTCTCTTTCGTTGTTGGCAAAAATGCAAAATGATAACAGCTACTTTGTGTGTTTGTATGTTCGCTTTGTTTTAGAGAGAAAGAGTGTGAGCGTGGGTGGGGGAAAAGAGGCAGGGGAAAACAATCTGAAGCAAAGTCCACAATAAGTGCCAAGCCCAATGTGGTGCTTGATCTCATGACACTGAGATCATGACCTGAGCTGAAATCAAGGGTCAGACACTTAACTGACAGAGTCATGGAGGTGCCCCATGTACAGGCAGTTTGGAAGACAGTTTGGTACTTTCTTATGAAACTAAACATAGTCCTACTGTATGATCCAGTAATTGTTCTCCTCGATATTTACCCAAATAAATTGAAGACTTTTGTTTATACAAAAACCTGCCCATAAATGTTTATGGAAGTTTCATAATTGCCAAAACTTGAAAACAACTAAGATGTCCTTGTGAATTGATAAACCTAAATGTGGTTCATCCATACAAAGGACTATTATTCAGCAATGAAAAACAAAGTAGCTACTGGGTGATAGAAAGACATGAAGGAAACTGAAAGGAGCCAGTTTGAAGAATTTACATACTTTATGATTTCAACTATATCACATTCTGGAAAAGGCAAATAGTGCAGTTAACAAAACAATCAGTGGTTGCCTGGATTTGGGGAGGGAGGAGGAATGGTTAGGTGGAGTGCAGGGCATTTTTAAGTAAATATAAATATATACCACATCTTCTTTATCCACTCAACACTTGATGGACATTCAGGCTCTCTCCATAGTTTGGTTATTATTGATAATGCTGATGTAAACATTGGGGGCAGGTACCCCTTTGAATCTGTATTTTTGTATCCTTTGGGTAAATACCTAGTAATGAATGCAATTGCTGGATCAAAGGTAGTTCTATTTTTAACCTTTGAGGAGCCTCCAAATTATTCTCCAAAGTGGCTGCACCAGTTTGCATTTCCACCAACAGTACAAAAAGATTCCCTTTTCTCATCCTCACCAACACCTATTGTTTCTTGTGTTGTTAATTTTAGCCACTCTGAAAGGTGTGAGGTGGTATTTCGTCATGGTTTTGATTGCATTTCCCTGATGATGAGTGATGTTGAACATCTTTTCATGTGTCCGTTAGCCATCTGGGTGTCGTCTTTGGAAAAGTATTTATTTGTGTCTTCTGCCTATCTCTTAACTGGATTATTTGGTTTTTGGTTGAGTTTGGTAAGTGCTTTATAGATTTTGGATACTAACCCTTAATCAGATATGTCGTTTGCAAATGTCTGCATATCTACAAAAACAGGTCATTTTTGGTTCTCTTGGCTCTGTACCTATGAGTGGGATTTCTGGGTTATGTGGTAACTCTATTTTGGACACTTCTGCTGGGCATATAACTTGGTGTGAACTTGCAAGGTAATGTGGCAACTCTGTGTTAACTTTTTGAAGAAGTACAAAACTATTTTACAAAGCAGCTGTACTGTTTTGCATTCCCATCAGCAAGCTATGAGAGTTCCAAATATCACTTCTGTGTAGCTTTAATTTGCATTATCTTAAGAGCAAATTTGAGTATATTTTCATATGGTTAAAAGTTATTTACATTACTTTTCTATCAACTGTCCATTTTCCTAATCCATTTTTATATAGTGCTGATGTCCACTTTTATACAGTAGTCTTTTTTTTTTTAAGATTTTATTTTATTTGACAGAGAGAGAGATATCACAAGTAAGCGGAGAGGCAGACAAAGAGAGAGAGAGGAGGAAGCAGGCTCTCCGCTGAGCAGAGAGCCCAATGCAGGGCTCGATCCCAGGACCCTGGGATCATGACCTGAGCCGAAGGCAGAGGCTTTAACCCACTGAGCCACCCAGGCGCGCCTATAGTAGTCTTTTTTTAAGTGTGATTTTAGAAACTGTTTATATATTAGGTATATAATAGGCATATTGAAATTTTGCAAATATTTGTCATTTCATTTACCCTATCTTGTTTTTGACATGCCACCTTTTTTTTTTTTTAACTGTGTTGTGGTCATTTTTAAAAAATATTTTATTTATTTGACACAGAGAGAGAGATATCACAACAAGCAGAGAGGCAGGCAGAGAGAGAGGGGAAAGCAGGCTCTCTGCTGAGCAGAGATCCTTATGTGGGGCTGAGATCATGACCTGAGCTGAAGGCAGAGGCTTAACCTACTAAGCCACCCAGGCACCCCTGTTGTGGTCATTTTATCAAATTATGATTAGGAAATTTTTCCCCATTCCTAGTTTATAAGAAGAAGTCACCCAACTTTTATTCTAATTATTTATACGGTTTCATTTGTATAAATATGGACACCTGATCCATTTGGAATTTGTCCAACTATATTATATGAGGAATCAATGCAATGCAGTTTTATCTTTTTTTCTATATTTCTACCCATATGTTTATCAGTTTTGCTTATTAAAAAGAGTTCATGTTTTTCCTACTGATTTGAGCTGCTAGCTTTATGGTGTACTAAATTTGCACTTATAATGGTGTCGTTTCTGGATATTTCTTTTCTGCTCCATTGATTCCATTGACATCTTACGAGTATGATAGTTTGAGTCTACTCTTAGTACCTTAGAGATTTTTATTTTTCAAGGAATATGAAAATAAAATTTACTTTCTTGTTATCTTACAGACTGGGAATCCAGGTGTGAGACCAAAAAGCTGTCCTCAAAGAGAGGAATTTATGAAATAGAATCATCTCAATGGGAGATAATAGAACAGCTTACAAGACATAAGTGTAAAAGTTTTCAAGATAATAGGGAATGCAAAGACCAGGTTGAAAGCCAATTAGGAAATAAAGAGGGACTTTTCAGGCAACTATTAATCACTTGTAAAGAAATTCCCAATTTTAGCCAGACCACATCCCTTACATTAAAACGAAGAATTCATTTTCCTGAGAAATCCTATGAATGTAAAGCATGCAGAAAATACTTTATCCATGGCTTTCAACTTACAGAACATCAGCAAGATCATTCCGATGAAAAATTCTATGAATGTAAAGAATGTGGAAAGGCCTTTATTCAGAGCTCAGAACTTATTTATCATCAGAGAGTTCATGTTAAGAAACCCTATGAATGTAAGGAATGTGGAAAAACCTTTATTTGTGCCTCACAGCTTACTTATCATCAAAGAGTTCATACTGGGGAGAAACCTTATAAATGTAAAGAGTGTGGGAAGGCCTTTATTCGTGGGTCTCATCTTACCCAGCATCAAAGAATTCATACTGGTGAAAGACCCTATGAATGTAATGAATGTGGGAAGGCCTTTTTTCGTGGCTCTCAACTTACTTACCATCAGAGAGTTCATACTGCAGAGAAACCCTATCAATGTAAAGAATGTGGAAAGGCCTTTATTCGTGGCTCCCAACTTACGGAACATCAGAGAATTCATACAGGTGAGAAACCCTATGAATGTAAGAAATGTGGGAAAGCCTTTAGTTATGGCTCACAGCTTACTCTACATCACAGACTTCATACTGGCGAAAAACCCTATAAGTGTAAAGATTGTGAGATGTCCTTTATTCGTGGCTCCCAACTTACTGAACATCAGAGGATTCATACAGGTAGGAAACCACATGAATGTAAGCAGTGTGGAAAGGCCTTTAACTATGGCTCACAGCTTATTCGTCATCAGAGGATTCATACTGGTGAAAAACCCTATGAATGTCAAGAATGTGGGAAATCATTTATTCGTGGCTCACAACTTACCGAACATCAAAAAATTCACACTGGTGAAAAACCTTTTGAATGTAAGGAATGTGGGAAAGCCTTTATTCGTGGCTCACATCTTACTCAGCATCAGAGGATTCATACTGGTGAAAAACCCTATGAATGTAAAGAGTGTGGTAAGGCCTTTATTTATAGCTCACAATTGACTCAACATCAGAGAACTCATACAGGTGAGAATCCCTGTGAATGTAAGCAGTGTGGGAAGATCTTTATTTGTGCCTCACAACTTACTCTACATCAGATTTCTCACTCTGGTAGGAAACCATATGAATGTAAGGAATGTGGTAAAGCTTTTATTCGTGGCTCACAGCTAACTTACCATCAGAGAGTTCATACTGGTGAGAAGCCCTATGAGTGTAATGAATGTGGGAAAGCCTTTATTCGTGGTTCACATCTTACTCAGCACCAGAGAATTCATACTGGTGAGAAACCATACAAATGTAATGAATGTGGGAAGGCCTTTAATCGTGGCTCACAACTTACTCAACATCAGAAAATTCATTCTGGTGAAAAGCCTTATAAATGTAATGAATGTGGTAAGGACTTTAGACGTCACTCACACCTTACCCAACATCATAAACTTCATAATTGAGAAAATACAAATTTATTAAATCTTTTGTCTACCCATTGGTACTCAGTTTTGGAATATTAGATAATTAAAGATTATGGAGGTAGGAATTTCTCTTTACTTTCACTTGTAGGTAACTCAGAAAATTCAAACAAGGGAAGACTAGATTAATACAATGGAGAATCAGTTTCCATCATATTTCAGTCTTTGTTATACATTAGTGAATTCATGCAAGAGCAGAACCATAGAATGTAGGGTTTTCTTGTTTAGCATCATTCTCTTGTTTAGCATGATCTGAGCCCCACCATTTACTACATGTGCGTTCCTTTGGGAAAGTTAGTTAACCCCTGTTGCTTTAGTTTTTTTCATTCGTAAAACTATCATTCTCATTATAATGGTTTAAAAGACATATATACATATAAAGCCTTAAAGCATTGTAGAATAAATAGATTATACTTAAACAGTAGTTATTACTGAAATTTTATTTTTACTTACTATTTAAAAAAATTTTTTTTCCTTCTGGGCTCAAGAGTAATCTTTCTTTTTTTTCAGTTGAAGTGTAGTTGACATACAATGTTATATTAGTTTCAGATGCACACTGTAGTGATTGGACAGTTCTGCACCTTACTCGTACTGACCACAATATACTGGTTACCATCTGTCTTTATACAACATTGTTACAATATTATCACTATGTTCTATTAACTATGCTGTACTTTTAGAGTACAATTTCTGGGTCTTACAATAAATTCATGTTTTCTTTTATAAGAATTGGACAAGTTATTTTTGAAAATGGCTTTACCATTTTATATTCACACCAGTAGCATATGACTTTCTCAGCCTTTGGTGTTGTCATCACTTTTTGTTTTAGCCATTGTGATAGGTGTGTAATGATGTCTCTTCTTGATCTTAATTTGCATTCCTCTAATGGCCTAATGATCTTGAATACCTTTTCATGTACTTGTCATCTCTCTATCCATTTTGGTAAAATACCTGTGTCTTTTACTGATCTTTGAATTGTCTTATTTTTTATTGTTGGGTTTTGAAAGAGTATTTTCTATATTTTTGATGATACTAGTCCTTCGCTGTGTGGTTGTAAATAATTTTCTTTTTTTTTTAAGATTTTATTTATTCATTTGACAGACAGAGATCACAAGTAGGCAGAGAGGCAGGCAGAGACAGAGGAAGGGAAGCAGGCTCCCTGCTGAGCAGAGAGCCCAATGCAGGGCTTGATCCCAGGACCCTGAGATCGTGACCTGAGCCAAAGGCAGAGGCCTTAACCCACTGAGCCACCCTGGCACCCCAATACTTTTCTTGATGTGTAGCTTTTTTTTTTTCCACCTTTTAGTTGGGTCTTTTGAAGAGCAAAAGTTTTCAACTTTGATAAGTTCTACTTTATCAATTTTTCCTTTTATGGGTTTTGCTTTGGTGTCAAATCTAAAGACTCCCTGCCTACCCAGATTCCAAAGACTTTTCCTGTTTTTGCATAAATTTTTATTGTTTTACACCTAAGTCTGTAATCTATTTTGAGTTAATTTTTCATGTATGTTATATGCTTTAGCTTAATGTTCTTAGTTTGTTTTGGCTAATGGATGTCCATTTGTACAAGCATCATTTGTTGAAAAGACTGTCTTTCCTCCATTAAATTGCTTTTGTACTCTCTCAGAAATCTATTGAATATATTTGTGTATATCTTACTTCAAGTTTTTCTACTTCCATCCAATGATCTGTCTTTCCATCTGCCAATATCACACTGCTATGATTACTGTCATTTTATAGCATGTCTTAATAGGATTTCTCCTACTTTATTCTTTTTCAAGCTGATTTACCTATTCTTAGTTTTTGCCATTTCAAATAAATACTAGAATAAGCTTACCTATATTTACAAAATATTGCTGAGGTTTTAATAGGAATTCTGTTTAGAAATAATTTATATCTTTGGTAAGTCTTTTAATCCATTAATCTAGTATATCTTTCCATTTTTAGGTTATTGTTGTTAGTTTGTGTTCTCCAAAATATTCAGGTAACAACTCCCAGTACTTATGAGTGTGATCTAATTTGGAAATAGGGTCTTTGCTGATGTATTCAAGTTAAGACAGAGATCATATTGGATTAGAGTGGGCACTGCTGTAATGGCTGGTGTCCTGATATGAAGAGGGAAATGTGGACACAAACTCACAGGGAAGGCCATGTGAAATCAGACAGATTGGAATGCATCTACAGGCCAAGGAATTCTGTTTAGAATTAGTAGTAACTACTAGAAACTAGAGGGGAAAGAAAGGATCCAACCCCTGCCTTCAGAGAGAACGTGGCCCTGCCAATACCTTAATTTTGGACTTCTGTTCCCCAAAACTGTAATAGATTTGTGCTGTTTGAAAACACAAAGCTTGTGGTAATTTCTTATGGCAGCCCTAGGAAATTGACATCATCTTTTAAAATTTTTTTATTAGGATTTGTAATTTTTGGCATACAGATCTTATACATGATTTGTAAATGTATATACTTAAGTATCTCACTTTCTTTGGAAAAGCTCTAAATAGTGTTGTGTTTTTAAATCCAATTTTTACCTGTTCATCATTAGTATATACAAACTATATAAATATATATCTGTATGTTGATCTGGTAATCTGTGACCTTGCTGCAGAACTCACCAATTCATTCTGGAAAGTTTTGTTTCATATTTTAGTAAATTCCTTGGGGTTTTCTACATAGACAATCATGTCATCTATGGACAGTGACAGTTTTATATCTTCCTTTCTAGTCTGTGTCTTTTTGTCTGTGTCTTTTCTGTCTTTTGTTTGCATTATTATGCTGGCTGTAACTGTTAGTGCTATGTTGGATAACACAGACAAGAGCAGATATCCTTGTGTTTTTCCAAATCTTAGGGGGAAATACTCAGTCTTTCATCATGAAGTACAATGTAAGCTGTTGGCTTTATGTAGATGTTCTTTTTTAAATTGAAGTTCCCCTCTGCTCCTAACTTTTTAATTTTTATTTTATTTTTTTTTAAAGATTTTATTTATTTGGCAGACAGAGATCACAAGTAGGCAGAGAGGCAGGCAGAGAGAGAGAGAGGAGGAAGCAGGCTCCCTGCTGAGGTGGGAGCCCGATGTGGGGCTTGATCCCAGGACCCTGGGATCATGACCTGAGCCGAAGGCAGAGGCCTTAACCCACTGAGCCACCCAGGCGCCCCAATTTTTATTTTTTTAAATAATTTTTTTATTATGTTAGTCACCATACAGTACATCATTTGTTTTTGATGTAGTGTTCCATGATTCATTGTTTGCATATAACACCCAGTGCTCATTGCAATACATGCCCTCCTTAATACCCATCACTGGGCTCACCCATCTCCCCACCCCCCTCCCCTCTAAAGCCCTCAGTTTGTTTCTCCGAGTCCATAGTCTCTCATGGTTTGTCACCCGGTCTGATCCCCCTGCTCATTTTTCCCTCCCTTCTCCTAATATCCTCCATGCTATTCCTTGTGCTATTCCACACATAAGTGAAACCATATGATAATTGTCTTTCTCTGTTTGACTTATTTCATTTACAATAATAATCTCCAGTTCCACCCATGTTGATGCAAAAGTTGGGTATTCATCCTTTCTGATGGCTGAGTGATATTCCATTATATATATGGACCACATCTTCTTTATCCATTTGTCTGTTGAAGGACATCTTGGCTCCTTCAACAGTTTAGCTTTTTTTTTTTTTTTAAAGATTTTATTTATTTATTTGACAGAGAGAGATCACAAGCAGGCAGAGAGGCAGGCAGAGAGAGAGGAGGAAGCAGGCTCCCTGCTGAGCAGAGAGCCCGATGCGGGGATCGATCCCAGGACCCTGAGATCATGACCTGAGCTGAAGGCAGCGGCTTAACCCACTGAGCCACCCAGGTGCCCCCAGTTTAGCTTTTTTTAAAAATAACGAATGCATATTGGATTTTATCCAGATATATGATACGATTATATGACTTTTTTCTTCAACCTGTTTATATGGTGGATTACATGGATTGACTTTTTAATGTAAAACCAGTCCTCACATAACTGTAATAAATCTCACATAGTCATGTCATATAATTTCTTGTTGGAATTGATATGCTAATATTTTGTTGGAGATTTTTCTTAGATTATGAAAAATAATTGTCATATTATTTTTTTCCTTTCTTCCTTCCTCTCTCTCTACCCCCTAGTCTTTGTCTAATTTTGTATTGTATAATATCGGCTTAATAGAATGAGTTGGGAGGTGTTTCTTTTCTGTTTTCTGAAAGTTGCTTAAAATTTGTGTTCATTTTTCAGTTTGTGAAAATTTGCAAGTGAAGCCTTTTGGGCCTGAGGATTTTTAGGGAGCTTTACAATTATAAATTCAGTTTCTTTAATGGTTATTCATTTATATGGCTACTTATGTTATCTGTTTCATCATAGTTGAGATTTGGTAGCTTGTGGTTTTTGAGAAACTTAGGCTAAATAGTCTTAAACACTTAAAATTTTCCAGCCTCTTCCCTCAATAAAATTTTTGATGCACATTCCCTTATAATGATAGACCTATCATTATAAGAATATAAGAATGGTGTCAAATTAAACAAAAATTAAAAAATTAAAGACCAGATTCCCTTATAATGATAGATATAAATATTCTAAATAAAATATAAATAATATCTACCAATTAAAAGAATACAAAGGAATACTATTCTTCAGGAATGTCCAAGATTTAATCTGTTATAGATTAATTACATTTCAAAAGTCTACAAATTATATTTGATTTTTTTTTAAGATTTTATTTATTTATTTGACAGAGATCACAAATAGACAGAGAGGCAGGCACAGAGAGAGAAGCAGGCTCCCTGCTGAGCAGAGAGCCTGATGCGGGGCTTGATTCCAGGGCTCTGGGATCATGACCTGAGCTGAAGGCAGAGGCTTTAACCCACTGAGCCACCCAGGCACCCCTACAAATTATATTTGTAAGAGATGATTATGATGGAAAAATGATCTGATACAGTCTCAAGTCATTTTAATTCTCTCAGTGAATGGTTTTGAAATGTGTTTTTCAATGTTCTTTGAGA